GAGTCACCGCTTGGTAGACGATCTTCTTAGGGTAGGCCTGCAACTTCCTGGTCATCGCGCTCAGCCGTCGCACTTGTACATCGGTCGGTTCTTGGACACGTCGTAGAGAGACCACATATAACATCAACCACACTTGGGTGATTAATGCGTAAACCAGTGCACCTCTGAGGCTGACGAACATGTCTACGACCATCTAGGACGGAGCTGCTTGATGTATTCATCCTGGTCAAATGCGACATTGCCGTCCTCATCCTTGGTATACCTCACAGCACACTTGGTAAATGTATGCTTGTTGAGTTTGCACTTACCAAAAGAGTCCTCGACGCACATGACGCACTTGTCAATGGTGTCCCCAGCGCCGGCCATATTGATATCATCGACATGTTTGGCTGCGAGCAGGTTACTGCCCATCTCGAGCTCCTCGTCGTTGGACGCGGGTCTGAGACCGAAGCCCCTCGTGGTCATTCTGAGCTTCAGAGAGAAAGCTCTGGGTGCATCCATGGCGCCAGTGCCTGACATGAGCCGCTGCAGGCACTGCTTCGACCCGTCGCAGTGCTCGAATCCTGGGAGGGGCCGGAGCCCCGTAGCCGATCCAGGCGGCAAAGTAAAGCACGCCACACGTTATGTCTCACTGGTTGCCTCAGCAAGTTCCTGGTAGGCCAACCCTTTTCAGGATGGCCATGTTAAGGTCGAGGAAAGCAATGATCCATTGCTTCTTGCACGCTGCCGTGCTTGCGAATAAATATCTGGCTTGGCCGCCGCGATGCCCCTGCGACGGCTTCCACGTCGAAAGCTCTAAGGTCCATGATGCCCCGAAGCGCCAGGCGCAATCTGATGGCACGTTCCATCTCACCCTTTTCGTTCTTCACGAACTCCCATTCACGCACGCACCTCGAAGTCATGATGTTTGACGCCTCAGAAATGTCTTGCATCTTGAAACACATGTTGTCGAACCATGTCTGGAGTTCAGTATATAGGGCCTTTGATACTTTCTCGGGGTTCGCCTGGATGTTGGCCTCCGCGAGAAGGTCGTCTTCCGTGACGACCACAGCTCGCTTTGCAACGGCGGTAACATATGCTCGCATGGTGGTTACACGGTCGACATCTAATATCCTGCGCTGTTGCTCGGATAGGGCTACGCTTGACATTTCTGCCGCGAAGCAGAATTCTACAGATTGACCGTTTTCGTCTGAGTCCAATGCGTAACTGTGGTCTTCGACCGTGGAGCATGGTGGGACATGATACGTCTTCTCGATGTAGGAGTCGCGTGGGTGTCCCCTCTTTAGGCAGGTGCCCCCACTGTTCTTCAGCTACAGTGACCAGCACACTGTTGTCGGCATTCATATGTGTGGGTACAGTGTAAGTGTCGTCTAGTGGAGTTGCCTCCCGTAGTTCCCTTTCACCATGTAGTTCTACGCACCACACTTCCATAATATGTGCCTCAAGATCCGCTTCCGATTCCTCATACATCGTAGGGAGCAGCCCATCCTTCTGCGGTGGTTCGGCTTCTGGGGCTTCTCTGGCGTTTTCGTCGTCTCGGTATGTCCGCCAGTTCCTCAACCTTCGTCACATGTTGGTCAGAGCCCGCTTGAGGTTTGGTGGACTTTAGGCACTGGATGATTCTCGAATGTGCTAATCCAGCTATACCATGAATATTCAGGGCAGCGCCTTCCGCTGCATAGTAGTGGAAACCTGGATTCACATCGTTGCCATAATGGGCCAATGTGCAACTGTCTGCGCAAGCCACCGGAGGTAGCTCATGGATACGCTTGGCCAACCTAACAGAGACTACATTCTCAATACGGAAGAAGTTACTGATGAGGCAGTGTAACGCCGAATGTACCGTAGGAGATTATCGGCTTGCACTTGTCATAGCAGGTCTCCCCGCAGGTAGACTGGCCACCACTGTCCGCAGTGCAGTGTTGCCAGGGCCGCTTTCCCTGGCTATCGAAGCTTCGATGTAAAGTGAATGTCGTGCGTCGCCATATTGGACTTGTACCGTCGCGGCTTCCCACTCGAATGGTGACTTGACCCTTGTCGGGATCATGTCGTACAACTGGGAACGGGCCACTCCAGCCTCCCAAGTCGTCCTTCGTAGTTGCGGGGCAATGATAGTCAACCAAAATCTCCTTCATCCTAGTAATGCTTACTGGTGATAAATGTCTAGTGCGTAATGCACGATTGGTCTTAGCTGCTGCAGTAGCCTGCATGGTAGCTTCAACGCATATATATTGCGTATCACCTGTTCTCGAGAGTGGTCCAAGGTTTCTGTCGGCTGTTCGTGATCCAGAACAGGCAAGTCAGGAAACATTGCCAGCTGCCGTCCAAACACAGCATTGAATGGAGACACCTCAGCGTAGAAGGCGAATGCAAACAGGGCGTCGCGCAGTCGTCGTGCGAACACAAGAGGCATGTCTAAACTTGAGTTCAGCTTCCGTGAAGTAGATGACGTAATGTGCCACTTCTGGCTTCAATCGTCGCAGTGCGCTGTCCACGCGCGCGCATCCTCAGCTCAGCGCCTTTTGCCTTAAGAACTGCCTTCGGCGCGTCGATCTTAAGGGCGCCCTCCCCATCGGGGCAGAGTAACTTGGCAGGTCCGAATTGCATCCAGCACTGATTATACGCATCTAGGATACTGCTCATTGTCTTTTCTGGTATCTCCATTCCAATAGCAGAGCGAATACAACGATCGAGGATGTAAAATATATTATGTTCCTATTTGTCAGACAAGAGGTC